AAAAAAAAAAGATAAGATACCCAGACTCCTAGATATATATGTGGTTGACTTATTGTGTTTGTAGGGCACATAGTCCAAATAAATGGTAACAAGAATAAGGGAAGGGGGCCCTTCAATTAAAAATGTATTTCATACACACTATAATTAATATATATTAAAGAAGAAAAAATTAATTAATTAGAAAGGGGCTGTAATTAAGTCCACTTCACAATATATGTGTCATAGTTGCATGATTTATAAATGTCACTGATTGAGACTGTCCTTATTTGAAATGGATTAATGTTTTTACATGAGAAAAAAAATTATTGAAGTTGTACGTACGTACCTACTGAAAGATTTAACCCTAACAACAAAAGTCAATGCAACTACGTAGAAATTCGTGTTCATGTGGTTTCTTTTTCTTCTAACTTATTATTCCTTACTAGTGCGTGGCCCGTGCGATACACGGGAAAATAATATTATGATTATACTATAAATTTAATATATAAATAACATTGATCATGATCTACCTATTGTTTTAAATTAAACAGGGTTGGACACAGTCCGACCGAATGGACGTAGAACCGGTTTATAATTCGCTTGAATATAATATTTGCTATTGAATCCGTCAACACCAGTCGATTGGACTGATAGGATCGATATTTTAAATATCACCTAAAAGTAATTCAATCAACCTGGGCAATACCCTAATTCAATCACCCGATTGATCCAAAAAAAATTTCTTATTTCCTGTAAATATATTTAGTTTTATGAAATAAAAATATTTTACGATTCATATAATAAATGTCTACACTAAATGATAGTATATTAAAGATTATAAATTATATATCTAAAGATGAATTAATTATTTTCTTAAACATAGTGATTTTTAAAAAATTAATATTGATTGATTGATTGATTATCAATTTAAAGAATATTTTTAGCGTTCAATATTTGTTTGAAATACACAAATATAAAGACCGAGATTCTAAAACATCTGTTATATTTTGAATTTAGAATTTTATAAATATAGAGACTGGAATTTTAATGTTGTTCCTTGCTTCTAAAAAAATAAAATAAAATAAAAAAACATGCACACTTAGAAGAACTTATCCAGATTTTTTAAATAATAAAATGAACTAAAGCTCGAAATTTAAGGTAACATTTAATGTTGTATGATTTTTAAAGAAAATAATAATAAAATTAATAAAACTTACTATTTATAAGTTGCATTAAATGTTAACCTATATTTTTGCTACCATTTTTTATAAATAGGATGGCTTTTTATATAGATATAGATAATATATATGAGTTACCCAAAGTCACGTAGACTTGGAAAATGCACAGAAGATGTTGAGAGTTTGAGACTATACAGTGGGTTGTGGATTTAATTTTTTATGAGAAAATTAAGATATTTACTATTATTTAACTTTGAATGATCATATTTTTTTTACAAAAATCTAAGTGCTATGAATATGTAGAAGGGTGTAGAAATTCCTCTATTTTCATTGGGATTGGGCCTATGGGGCATCCAGATGTTCTTGAGGCTGAGGCCCAAATATTAATAAGTCATACATGCTGTCAAGACTCAAAACAGGGGCTTTAAAAACCAAATGTAAGAGGCCCAATCCAAAGCATTTGCAAGCAGTACTGCTGACCGTTCAGATGTCATGTTCACCATTGTATAATAATCTATTAACTACAGAAAAACATGATTATATTTACTTTTTTTTAAAAAAAAAAAAAAGTTGCAAATAACCTCTTTGAGATTTGAAATCACAGTATGTAGGATAAAATTAAGTTTTCACTGTAAAAATTAAATCATCTATATGTTAAGTTGTTAACTAAGCAAAATCACGGGTAATTTTTGTGATTACTCCTTTTTCTTTTATCAGCTAATTACCAGCTTTTTGATAAGCTCACTTGAGTCAAGTGAGATCTCAGATCTCAACATGTTGTATTTACATCACAATATGGTAATTAATTGAGTAATAAATGAAAGGTGTTAAAGAGAATAATTCCAACTGGAAGAGAAATTACCGAGCCGGGGTTCGGTGTCTCAAGTCACTGGACGTGGGCGAGGGACCAAGGTTCCTTCTACTCGGTTGAAGGACTTTGTGGTTGACACTGTCCGGCCCTCGAGTGTACCACCTACTGCTAGTATGCTACTATAGTGAAAGAACCATTAAGCAATTAAACAGGACGGACGGGAATATCCCGAACATCAAAAATAAACTCCAGGAACCCCGTCATATGATGAGTTGCACCACTGTCGTACATCCAATCAAATAAACCATGTGTACCAGACAAGGGAATATTTTGTTTAGTAGAATTAACCAAAGACACAAAGTAAGACCATTGTTCATTGGTTAAACCACCAAGTGCAAGACGATCAGAATCACTCAAAACGGCACTAGTATTAGGGTTTGTGTTCTTCAGTAGAGAGAGAAAGTGTGGAGATAGAAAGAGAATAGAGACGATAGAATGAAAGGAAAAATGAACAGTGTGTTATTAGGGTTTATGATGAAAGGTATATATAGTACAAGACTTCTAACTAAAGGTGCTAATACAAGGTGACACTTTTAACTACAAAATTACAATTGACAGTTTCTATTACAAATGACCACTATAGCCTTATATCTTGTTACCCCCCCGCAAGAGGAGCATGTATGTTGGGCATGCTGATCTTGGAGATGAGGTGCTGAAATGTAGGGCCAGGAAGGGGTTTTGTGAGGAAATCTGCCAGTTGCTCTTTTGTGGAGATGTGCTGCAGTTGAATGAGACCCTTAGCTATCTTTTCTCGTATCAGATGGCAATCTAACTCTATATGCTTGGTCCTCTCATGGAAAACTGGGTTTGAGGCCATGGCTAATGCACTTTTGCTATCTGTGAACAAAGAAACAGGGGAGGATAAGTGTATTCCCAGTTCACCGCACAAAGATGCTAACCATTGGATTTCACAACTAGTAAAGGCTAGAGCCCTGTATTCTGCTTCAGCAGAGCTTTTGCTCACAGTGGGTTGCTTTTTGGATTTCCATGAAATCAGAGATTTACCAAGAAAGATCAAATAACCAGTTACACTTTTCCTTGTATCAATACAAGAAGCCCAATCACTATCAGAGTATGCAGTAAATGATAGATCAGAGTCATTATGGAATAGAAGGCCCTTACCAATAGTGTTCTTCACATACCTGAGCACTCTGTGAGCTGATTGCAAGTGCAGCTGTGTTGGCTTAGACATAAAGTGACTTAAAGTTTGGACAGAAAAAGCAATATCAGGTCTGCTAATGGTTAAGTACAAGAGTCTGCCAACTAACCTTCTATACTCAGAAGGATCAGATAATAATGCAGATTAAGAACATGAATTACTGAGTTTAAGAGTAGATTCCATAGGTGTTAAAGCAGGTTTACAAGCCATTATTCCTGTGTCATTAAGAATATCTAGGGCATATTTTCTTTGACACATATGAATTCCTTTATGAGAATGGGCAAACTCTAAACCAAGGATATATTTAAGTTGCCCTAGATCTTTAATGGTAAAACAAGAATCCAAATGAGATTTTATGGCAATAATATGATCTATGTTGTTACCTGTAACAATGATGTCATCTACATAGACTAAGAGGATGGTAATGGAATCAGAATCATTCATAAAAAATAAGGAACAATCAGCAACAGATTGTTTAAAGCCATAAAGAAGAAGACAATTAGTAAGCTTTTGAAACCATTGTCTCGAGGCTTGCTTAAGGCCATAGAGACTTTTAGTCAATTTGCAAACTAGTTTACTGTCAGGTAGGATGTAACCAGGTGGTGGCTGCATATATACCTCTTCATGCAAGTCACCATGTAAAAATGCATTATTAACATCTAATAGGTGGATATGCCAATGTTTTAATGATGCTAATGCAACTAAGAATCTGACAGTAGTAATTTTGGCAACAGGTGAGAATGTGTCAAAGTAGTCTATCCCTTCCTCTTGGGTATAGCCCTTTGCAACTAACCTAGCCTTATATCTTTCAATTGTGCCATCAGATTTATATTTTATTTTGTAAACCCATTTACAACCAATGCAATGTTTTCCTTTTGGGAGTTCAGTGAGAAGCCATGTATGAGTTTGTTCTAATGCACTGATTTCTTTATGCATGGCTTCTTGCCAAAGTGGGTTAGATGCAGCTTGTTTGTATGTTTTGGGTTCTGATATAGAAGATATAGATGCAGTGAAGCAGGTATGTGCATCAGACAAATGTGATGTGGATAAAAAATCAGATATTGGATATTTGGATGTTCCAGATTTGTCAGAGAATGTATTGACTGAATTGGAAGAAGAAGAAGAAGAAGGATGCAATGAGTGTTGGTAAATGTCCAGATAAGCAGGGATTTTAGAAATTCTGGAAGATCTTCTTCTCTGTTGTGGTGTGGAAGTTGGGGAATTAATAGGAGATGTGGCAGGGGATGTATGGGTATTTGTGTTAGGAGATGTGTTGATATTAGATGGAGTAGAGATATTATGTATAGTCTGATTTTGGGATGTTGAGGTAGGAACTGGTGGAGTATCATACAATGGAGTCTGAGGAGTAGGAAAAAGGGGTATATCTGACTGGGAAAGTGTATCAGTTTTGAAAGGAAACACATTCTCATAAAAAATGACATTTCTGGAGACTAATATTTTCTTAGTATCCAGGTTGTAAAG